TAATACATGTATCTGAATAATTTAAATATAATAAAAATTATACCTATATTATCAAATAAAAGTTCATATCTAAATCACTTCAATTTGTCGGACCACTATTGCAGTTAACTTCCAGAAGAGGTTCTCCAGATTTGGTTGTCAAATATATCTCGCAAATTTAAAAATAACAGATGCAGAACTCAAGGCAAATACACTATGAATCCTGCACAGTATTCATAATATAAGTATATGCACAGAATTGACAAAGACTTTATAATTATTATAAATAAGAACATGCAAGATGTGGAGGCGATATTTGATTATGGGCAAATCCCAGAGTCTAATGACTCATATTCTCAGCATGTAGTAGTAGTAGAAAATTATCAGATGTGTAAATAATTAATCAATTTATTTTTTTTTACTAGAAAAATCAGTGATCGTTAATGTAAAAGTAAATGCAAATCGACCTCTAGGTCAGTTTATTTATACAAAAATAAAGAAAGATATAGGATATGCCTACCTATATAAAAAAAATGATGATTAGTTTTGTTCGAATTCTTTGTAGCTTCTTTTCCGTGATTTAAATGGAGATGGCAATCTTGGTGAGGATGTAATAGTCGATGTTGTGACAAGTCTGATGTAATCGACATTATTTCAACCAAGTAATCAGAAGTATCCATTACTTTACATACTGTACATATTATTGCGCTTCTGAAAGTCAATAGTACGTGGATAATAGGATAGACATTCTCCAGTTCTGTATGTGGGGTTCATAAAGGGATGGTTGCTTGTTCAAGCAAGGAATTTTTATATATTGATGATTCTTTATACATGCAATGTAATTCTAGCATCCTCCCAACGATATTAATTGTAAATATTGTCAACATTTCTTTCATCATCGATTTTCTGAACAGTCTTTCATATTTGGGATTTCTCGTGAGATCAATAGAATCCTTTACAAGTCTATTGAGTTTTTTATGATCTTGTTTTTGCTTATCTTTGGAAGAATCTGGTCGACCAGTTTCGAGATATGCAAACTCCATAGCGACAACTCTGTAGTCGAGTCTTTTTGCAAGCTTATTCGAACCTTTGCATTCTGGTCTGGCTCATCCCCCTTTTTTAAATATGTTAGTGATTATAAAAGATAGTAGATTTAATAAAAAATTATAAATTATACATACCAAGCACTCCATATAGCGTAATCTATAGGTGCAATAAGTAATGATATTGTGTAAAAATGATTTAATAAATAATTAAATATAAAAAATACAATCTCCACCACATATTTTATTCACCGACTCCAAGTTATCATCTGATTATAGTAATAAAAGGTAAGATCGAAATAATTAATAGTTCATATTAAATATGAAACAATGTTACAACTGAGAACGCAATGTGAGCTTTTGCTTTTCGTGTTACAAAACACGCATACCGTGCTACGCGTGAATAAAA